TCTTTCCTGCCTATGCAGGGGGTCGGACTCGATGATCTATTGAGGTCCCTTCCGACCCTAACATCTATGAATCTATGAATCTACACCAGTTGCAGAAATGCCAGATGGGGTAGTTCTGTCAACTCAGCAGATGCAGATTCCTTCCTGCCTATGACATTCCCAGCATGAATAAGTGGGAACAAGATGCACAGGATTGGCTCTATAAGCTTTATATCAGAGATTTCCCTTACATCCATTGTTGGAGCAAATTCATTGGAACAGGAGCAAGGATATGGCATGTTCTATTTCTTCATTATATAATAATAAGTTTGTTTGTTTGTTAAGCTTTTCTAATTTGGCCATTAAACATTTGAGAATGACTTCAGGCCACTATATCCTGTGCAATGTAATTACATTGAGAAAAAATGAAACCAGTCATACAGTTTGATAGGATCTTTTAGGTAAATTGTTTTCCCCCTGTAATGCTTAACTGCTTTTCTAAAATATTTTACTTTAAGATACAACAACAGACAAAAAATATGTGTTGCATAAGGGGACACATATTTGCTAAGCTGAATGATCACTGTTTCCAAGGCTGCAATGTACGTGCATGGGAGTTGTGCACTGACTGATTTCTGATTGATACCAGCACTTGGCAGAGGCACTGATGTAGGCTACACACACATGCACACATTTATATATGGCTATTGTGACACCAGCACTACAGTGATTTTAAATGGTTGTTTATTGGGAGAGGAAGGTTCCAACCCATCTGAATTTGACAGAAAAACACTAGCAATCAGTAAAGTAAAAAGGCAGGCACTCAAGTCAGAAGATATAAGGTACTGTACTGGTGAAGATCAATGCAGTTACTACTAGGGCTGTGCAAAATTTCAGCAGCTGTTTCATTTCAGAGGTGTTTCAGTTCATTTCAGTGCCTGAAACAACAAATCTGAAATGAAATGGAAGGCTCCAAAACATCTCTGAAACGAAATGAAACCATCCGAAATGTTTCAGAAAATTTTGGAGTTTTGGAACCAAGCTTGCATGGAAACAGAAGAGGGAGGGGGAAGGCGGGGGCAGGAAGGACTGATTCCCCACAGATATTGACATCTGTAACTGGCCAGTGTCTGCGATCTGTCCTGGAGGTCCTTTCCAATACCAGTGCTCTGGGGGAGGGACAGAGAAACAGCATATAAGGATCTGTGTCAAGCCTTTCTGTCCCTTTTGTAAGCTCTCTCTCTGGAAGCAACGGCATGTGAAAGCTACTGTGGGTGGCTGCAGTGAATGACTTCATAGTCTCCTGCTAGTCTTTCTTTTTGG